CACTTAAAGCCCAGATGCATATTTTATTTGTGCTAATTATAGAATTGTGGTATAAATTGAAATCTTAGACTTGCCGTGTCACTTAGGAGGAAGTCAGGGCATTAATTAGGAAGGAAAGTGAGGCTGAAACGTGTATGGTGACATCCGAGTGAAACAGATAACGCTGAGAATTTTTTAGTGCCCCAAGGGCTTTCTAAGGCTTTCCATCTCCCTGTGTGTGACAAGACCATCCTACTCCTGGATTAGACTCTTCAGTAACTCTAGCAGGTATAAAACTCCAATTGAATCAGCTAAGATACTATTAGAAAAGGATATTAGAAGAAGGAATTTATAAAATATCAACTACAGCCATGGATTTAATTGTAGAAATGGGGGCTGTAACAACTATGAATATCGTTATTTTCTGGTTATGCTTCTCATAGATATAGTTATACATACAAATAAATATCAGATAGACCGAAATGTGCATATATAGCATAGCTTCATTTTTTAACCTCTATACTCCTGTCCCCTTACTAATTTAAATAAAGATGTTTTTTCATCATGAATAGCTTTCTAATCAAGTCTTTCATTAATTATAAAAAGAGAATTTTCAGGTGGAACTGTGATTTTTCAAAGAGTAAATAGCATGGCTCAGAAATACATATTATAATGGTTATTTAGGGATGGACACAACGACTGGTAGGATTTTATGTATCTCCGTTTTGGACAAATGATGAGAGCATTTTTGTTTGTACAGTGGATAGTTGTATCATATTATTAGGAAACAGTATAAATATGTACAGAAGTGTGCATATGGCACTGAATAACCAAAGGAGTGAATTATGCTAGGCAATTATCTATCAGTGTGATAGCTAAACTTCTACACTCTTATCTTGTGATACTGGGGGCAGAGCTCAACAATTTTCATTTTTTCTCTTTGCCAAGGGTTTCTGTTAGGTTCTGCTGATAACACTGGTGAGACACAGGAAGACAGAAGGAAAGGGGAACAGAATTTTTTGGTTGACTTGCTTTGCTTTTCAATATTACCTTTCACCTTGAGACAATTGTTTCCCGTCTCCGGTTTTTTGCACTCCTAGAACCAGTCTCACTCTGTGCTCATGGAGTTATCAGTTTCAGCCAAAAAGTAACATCTCCTTATATTTTGATCCAAATGTGCAAGAGTCTTCAGAATGCTGAGATTCTAACAGCCAAGGGCCAACCCCAGGTCCGAGACTCCGCTCTGAGGAGGGCCTCCACAGATCATGAGGTACTGAGAGAGGATACCTGGGAAAAGTAAGGTTTACAGAACAAAATCCTCCCGAGGTGACTCAGCTCCTAGGAATTGGTAGAAACTTAACTTCCTGGGACCTTGAAACGAACACTTGCTTCTGCTTCTATAAAAGCCCCAGCAGCCTTCTCCAGCTCAATTCAAACTGACCAACGAGGTTACCCGTGGACAAAGAGCTCTTGACCGCAGATAAAAGAGAAAAGATAGCCAGTCAGGGAGCCTGGCCATTTTGGGACTTTAGTCCTCCATGGCTCCAGCAGCTGAAATAAAGCCTTTCCTCTTTTAAATATAGATGTTCAGGGGCTTCTTTCTCTCCTTCAGGCCTCATTTTCCTGCAACACTACCAGTATCGGCCAGGGGACACCCTGTCCTTGGAGGTCTGATTCCCAGCTCTGGGGGGTTCATTCTTTGAGATACTGAGTTGTTATCAATGGTCCCATAGTGCCCCCTCCTCAGTTCATGAGTGATTGAATTCTTTTCTATAAAGTCTCTTGTCCAAGCTTCTAGGTTGTTAACCTAATTCGTTCTCTCTCCCTCTCTCTCTCTCTCTCTCTCTCTCTGGTGTCTGTTTCCAACAGTTATCATTTTTATTCTGCTTATGTAGCAATTCCCTCCATATTAAATTCTTCATATTGAATATTGAGTCTAGTTTCCATGCTACACAGTCATCATTTGGTTTCTAAGATCTGTGAGGACTGGTGTAAGTCAGGTTCCCATTCAGACTCAGTTCCTTGTCTATTTGATTGGGGGGTAGTAGAGGAGTTCATCTAAATAGTCTCTAAAGTGATGGTTCCCAGATTGTTTTTTAGGGAATGTTACTCCCAAGATTTCCTCCATCAAACTGATAGATATTGTTATGAATTTGAGAAAGTTTCTAATACTCTCACTTATAGTCCACAAAAGCATAATAAATGGTGTGAAAAGTCCAGCACAAAAGAAACCTGCTTCACTTTGATGCAATATCGCTTCCCAAGATACCATGCTAGGGAAAATGATTTATTTTCAGTTAACGTCTTTGACTATGCCATGACAAACCTGAGAAACAGCATCCTCTGGAATACTGAGAAATTCCCATGTTTTGTAATTTTATGAACTTTTCCTTCACAATCCACTTATCAAGAAGGAATCTAATGCCTATAATTTTTTCCATGGTTTTATGTTTATTTCAGCTCTATGCATAGATATGGACTGAGAGTAATGTTCTCTGCAGTGAGATGTAGAATGAATATTGATGAGGGGTGGAAAATATAAAAAGCTGAGGAAAATTATTGTCAAAAATGAAATGCAAGGTGAGAGGAGACCAGAGGGGATGAAAGCATAGAGTCACATTGTATTAGAATGAGGACATCTATGCTTAAGGTTAAATGAACAAGCTGTGGATTCACACTGCTTGGGTGTGATTCTCAGCTAAAGCACCAGAGTGCTATTTGATTTTGAACAAAATTATTCATCTTCTCTGAGCCTTGGTTTTCTCTTCTTAAAATGGAGATAATAGCAGTACATACTTTACAGTTTGGTGAGTAAAATTAAATGTGACATAGTCTATAAGATGATTGACACCTATCTGATATTGAATTATTTAGGGTATGCCTGTATAATTATACTGATTTCATTTACATAGAAAAAATAGTTATAAAAGAAACACAAGATATTCAAAATGGAAAAGTCTTGAGAGGGCATCTAATTCAGCTCTCTCAATCTATAGATGAGAATAGAGTTTAGTTTCCCAAAGACTGTATTTGGTTACAGAGCTAAATAATAGAGAAATTGAATAGAGACCTCAGTCTCTCCATCCTTAGAAAAATGCTGTTTCAATTAAACTCAAAGTAGAAGTTTTTACATTTTTCTGGATAAAGACAAAAGTATTAGTACCCAAATTGTCTTCTGGGTTCAGTTTTCAAGATGATCTCCATGATGTTTTTGAGACCCAGGGACATCTAATTAGGGGCATGTCTGAACCCTGTGCTTTCTCTGCCTCCTAGTACCTGTCTCCCTATAGCAATTCTGTGTGGGAGAGACACTGTTAGAGTATACATCAGGAAAAACTGGAAGAGTGGAAAGGGAGAGGAGTCATCGCATTCGTTTTTCATTGTTTATAGAGCAGTAGGGAGAGGATCAATTGGCTATTTGAATATAAAGTCAAATCTTCCTCTTTTCCTGCAGAAGCTCATGGGAATTCAAGATTCAGCTTCACCTGTAACCCAGCACCATGGTGTAGGAAGCCATTGCTGCTGGAGGTATAATGGATGTTATTGCTGCTTTATTTATTTATTTATTTATTTATTTTTATTTTTTTATTTTTAGCAATTTTTGGCCTGGTCTTGGTTTGAACCCCCCACCTCTAGCATATGGGGCCAGGACCTTACTCCTCTGAGCCACAGGCACCGCCCAATCCAGCTTTCTAAGAGGTGCTGAAGACTGCCCTCATCCATGATGGCCTTGAATGTGGAATCTGCGAAACTTCTAAAGCCTTAGATAAATGCCAAGCACATCTTTGTGTGCTTGCATCCAACCATGATGAGCTTGTGTATGTTACATTGATGGAGGCCTTTTGACTGTACAACAAATCAACCTATTAAGGTTGATGACAACAAAAACTAGGGGCAGGGGTAGACCTTTGACAAGAGCGGACTCGCTCAATTAGAACCACAGTGCCCAGGAAAGAACTCCCCTCCCAGGAATGAATGAGGACACGAACGTCCTGCCCAGGAAGGAAGGAATGGGCCAGTGTCTATCCCACCAAACTCTTATATTCCCACCCACCTTAACCTACATGCTGACTTCTTTTTCAGCCCACTGGCACTAGAATGAAATAAAAGCCAGGTTCCCCACACAGAACCCGAACTCCACTTTCTTTCACGCAAGTCTCAGAATCTCTCATTTTCAGTCCTTAACCTCACGTCTCGGAATAATCTCACAGTTTTGGTCCTTAACCTCTCAGAAACCCGGTAAAATGGTCAGTTGTAGTTGTGTACTATTAATGACAATGGCAAAGAATCTTCAGGTCAAAGATGTCATCTAAAGCTACTTTAAATGCAAGAAATGAATAAGTAAGACTTTGCCTCATATTCCTTAAAAAAAAAAAAAATCAAATCTTTTTTCCGATCTAGGTGACTGAACCTGGGTGGCCCATTCCTTCCACCTCCCAGGATCACCACTGGCACTGACACTGAGGGAGAGGTAACACCTCTCCAAATCTAAAGACACTCTTCCCCTCGGCTTTGTGAAGCAGATCCAGACAACCACGTTTGCTGTTGTTTTATTTAGTATCATACTTAGAACAGTGGAAAACACTAGCAATAGCCACAGTCACAATATACAAGGCTTCCTGATGATGACTAGTTTTTCTACAACTTCATGGAAGTAGAGTAAACATATTATTTTTAAAGGATAATTTAATATGATGAAACAACATTGTATTGTAGTCCAACCAAGGCTATGTACATATGTATACATAATTGATGAGCTATAATGTATAATTTATACGTATATAAACACCATGTTTTATTGAGGTAAAAGAGCACAGCGTGGTTAAAAACGAATGGCTAAGCTCAATACAGGCTTTACAATACCACAGAAAGTCATTTTACTAGCACAAAGACCTCCAACATGCTGGTATTAACTTACCGATAAATATTTAGACTGCATTAATATTTTTCTATCTTGAAAACCAAACCAAAATAAACAGAAGTTAAGGCAACCTTCGGAAGTGTCAGCATTTCTTACTTTATTTGCCTTGTGGTAAATGTTAGTCATAGCAACAATTAAAAATATCGAACAATGAAGAACAAAGGTTGGCCAATTCATCTTGAGCTCATCTTACCCGCATAAAATTTTTCCCTAATGTACAGAAAAGTCATATTTCTCAGCAATCTTCAACACTCAATGTTGAAGATAACATCATTGTTTGGGGGCCCATACATGCTTACTCAAAGCTATGTGCTACACGTCTCCAATTTTGATTTCATATTCTGAAAATCATCTACGCAAGCCTCAATTCTATTTTTAAAAATGCAGAAAATAAAACTTTCTAGAATATAAGTTGCCCTGGCTGCAAGCTATCCAACACTGCTACTCACTTCCATCGTATCTTTGGAAAGATAAACTATCCAGTATACAAGGTTGAATCCTGCAAATGCAACTGGGAAGAGAATTCGAGAATACTGGTCTATTTTGCTGGTGCCTCCAAAGGCTGGTGAAAGTGGTGGGGGTGTGACAGGTGTTGGCGGGAGGATAGGTGCTCTCGTCAGGACTTTACTGGCCTCAGTGGATGGAACTATTGGCAAGGTCAGAGAAGTGATTCTTTTCTTCAAATGATATCTGGAATCAGGATGCTATAGAAAAAAAAAAGGCAAATATTCAGCCAGGGTGAGAGACTAGAGATCAAGAGATCACTTATTTAGCCATTTTTTTCACTATTGACAATCATTTATTAACTTTGTACTTACTCTTTAGGGTAAAACATCCACAAATTCTCACTATTATTAGGATTTGATTGCCC